TTGACACAATTCCATATCTCGTAATTGATCGGATCATATTGACGAAGGGATAATAGTTCCATGATAAACGAACGATTTTGGTTTTGTCATACCACGTGACATTTTCCGTCACATGTATTGCCCTGACACATTGCTAGATGTCAATCAGGGACGGCGGATGTGAGTTGACGATAAATTAAAAGGGTGTATTAATTTATCGATTTTGATTAGATCAAAATAATATTTCACGACGTTAGGCATCGTGGTCGGGAACCTAATGGGTCGCACACAAAAGAGAATTGGAAGACTGCAAATTGTTAATTGATTAATTTAACAATCGTTGGATAAATTAATTAATTGAATTTCTTATTTATAATCCCGAATTAATTAATTGGATTAATTAATTCACGGACCGGGTTTGATTAATTGGATTAATTAAATATTGGACCGGACCGGGCCGGGTCCGTTTGGGTTTATATATATATGCAGCTAGGATTTGAGGTCCATTAAGTCATTCATTATTCTTGCTAGCACAAGAAAGAAACCCTAGCAGTTGCTGTTTTCTCTCTGTGTGGATTTCATTGGAGGCTGCACAATTGGACAGCTGTGGGAGGCAGATTCAAGCTGCTGGAAAGGAATAACGCGAAAGAATTTGCAAATCACACAAAATGTATATTTCTCATCACAGTTTTTATCTAAATACAAAGCTGAATCCTGAATGGGAATTGAAATCTGTTAAATTCCGCTGTGCATGTTTAAATCAATTCCCAACACGTTGTGCCACCAAAACTAAACGTGCAAATACTCTTTGAAGACGGCAGTGCAATCGTACATGATGGACAAAGGTGTTTTCATTTTTTTCTCATTTCGTTTCAGCAAGTTTCTGTGGAAAGCTTACCTCTGTGTCATTTTCTTAATATGCAAAGCTTTTTGCTGCATCTTTGTTGGGCTCTAATAATTGTATTATATCTTTTTTCGTTGAATACTAGAGGATTATGTGATGTTAATTAGGATTTCCACGTGATCTTTTTCGTAGATGATCTTCCTGTTGGGCTTTAATAATTGGGATTTTCATGAGTGTCAATTGAACATCTTATTTTTAGGAATTCTTGTTAGGAGTTTCTCAAGATTAGTTGAATTTAAAAATTTGTTACAAAAAATTGTATGCACTCCTCTAACTCTTATGAGGAAAAAATAAAGGTAGTAATAAAAGATAACATTTATTCGAGAAGCTATTTTATCGACAGCTCTATTTTGTGTTTTTTTTTTTTGGGGTTCGATACGTACTTTAATTGATAGGAAATTGGCTATGTCCTATTACTAATTTAATGACCTTATGTGTCACTATTTATTTTTTATCACACGCATGTTCATTACTGTTAGCAGCAGAGTTGTGCTTTGAGTTACATGTAATTTACCACTTCTACCAAAATCACAGCATTTGTTGCATGAAAGAGATTATAGAAGATGAGAATCATGATTTCTTGATAGAATGTGATAACGAGGAAATTGCTGGAAATTCGAATACACTAGACAACGAAAAATTAGGAGATGTTGTGACGAAGCCTGAGGTGTGTATGATGTTTAATAGTGAAGAAGAAATGTTGGACTTCTATAAAAGATATACTTAAACCGTAAGTTTTCCAGTGAGGAAACGTAATTTGAAAAAGGGGGACAACGGAGTTATGAGATATGCGACGTTTACATGTAGTCATGAAGGTCGAAGAATTTACGCTATAGGCGGTTCTTTGAAGCTGCAACCAACAAGTCAAACGGATTGTAAAGCAAGAATATCTCCCTCTTTAGATAGTCTAGGAATATGGAAAATTAACAAAGTGTACCTCGAGATAGTACTGATGCAATTGAAAGTTGACTGCAAGTGTGAAACAAAATCTCGAATTAAATGATATGGTAGGAATCCTCTTGCACAAGAGTTTTAACTCCACAGTTGTGGTAGCAGATGGATATGAGAACATGATGTTCATGGAAAAGAATTGTCGGAACTATATAGCACAAGTGAGATGACTACGACTTGGTAAAGGAAATGTCATCGCAATATAGGCGTACTTTTCGAATATGCAAGCACGGTGCTCGAGATTTCACTTCATTATGGACTTTGGCGATGAGTCACGACTTAAGAATGTATTTTGGACAGATGATAGATGTAGGCAATCTTACAAGGAGTTTGGTGACATTCCCACTTTTGATACTATGTATATCACTAATAAGTACGTCATGCCCTTCGCCCCATTTGTTGGCGTAAATCATCACAGGCAATCAACTCTGCTTGGTTGTGGACTCTTATCGAACAAAGACACGAGAACTTTTGTGTGGTTGTTTAGGATATGGCTCGAGTGCATGCATGGTAAGGCTCCTAACGGAACAATTACTGATCAAGATAGGACAATGCAAAATGCAATTGAGATTGTTTTTCCGAATACGAGGCACTAATGGTGTTTGTGGCACATTCTGAAAAAGTTCCCTAAAAAGTTTGGCTACCATGTTCATAAAGGCCCCATATTTTTTGCTATACACGACCTAATATACAATTCGCAGTTCGTTGAAGAGTTCGCGCAAGGTTGGAGGATGATGCTCGATACATATGACTTGCAAGATAATGACTAGGTGTCGGGGCTGTACAGTAACAGAGGTTGTTGGGTTTCTTGTTTTTTGAAAATCACTTTCCTCGCAGGGTTGTACACAAAACGAAATGAGAGTATGAACGTATTTTTGGACGGAGGGATACATGTGAATTTACTTGTAGTTGACACTTATTTGTGTTTTGAGGAATCGTTTGCAGGCATGCGATCATAGTCTTGATTTGCCGTAACATCACTTCAATGCCTGATAGGTATATTCTACGGAGATTGGGGAGAGATGTCAAAAGAGACAAACGAGGGCTGAAGTCAATTATGATAGCTTGGCAAGTACTCCGAGACAGTTAAGATATGACAATATGTGTCAGGCCTTCTTGAAGTTGGCAGACCTTGCTATAGATGATGAAGAGTGGTCGCGTGCTGTAATGGAATGGATAAAATTGCAAGTAGAACTCATACGGAGTCGAAATTGGTTAGTAGAAGCACTGTCATTTTGCAAAATGTTATTCGTGGGGTCTCTACTTGTAACGATTCGTAAAATACTGAGACCATGAGCATATTGGATCCTAAATCATCGAACATGAAGGGCGTGCGGAGGAAGCTTCGAAAGAAAGGCCATTTGGAGTACACTTCAAAGAAATTTAAGGTATTGTTGTCGATTCCTCATTTCGTTGTTTGGGCATTTGATTCAAAATTCTAATTTCAGTTAATGAACATGCAGTCCACATCAGGGTCAACCACATGAAATAGCCTAGGGCAAGGCCTAATAGCATGGAGGAGAATGTAACTGATTCACAAGCATCTCGATTACCGGAATGTACTACGCCAACCCCAGTCTCATATTCACAACTCCTATTGGAAAGTTGAACTAGGTGGAATGTTAATTTATTTAATTCATCTCATGTATGGTAAACTGGGTGGAATGTTAACCCATTTAATGGGGTTGGAATGTTAAACTGGGTGTCATCTCCTGTAGGGTAACAATGCCAATGAAGCTATCACATCACACTTGCTATATTCATCTTTTATGTACCCGCACCTATGAATGGAATTGTGAAGCTTAAGGTAAAAATAAAGGTAGTTCGTCATATTAATTTAGGCAATTACTAATTTTCATCTTGACTCTAGGTCATGTCTTGCCATACTATCGACATTTCCTTGATGAAGATGGCACAAGGTTCTGATTCAGGCTGGACAGGTACATTCGAAAAGAATGCATTCCTTTACTAATTTCATATATATGCATTCCTTTACTAATTTCATATATATGTTACTGATTATTGTTGGTTCTTTTTTTTTTAATCCGGATTATTTGGATTTTATGCTTTCTTCAGTTTCAAGACTAGCCCATGCTTACTGTTTTTTAATGAGAATTATGAGACATGAATGTTCTTCTTTATGACTTATTGATTGAATTTAACTACGAAAAATTGTTTTAAGCCGATCTAGACCTCGGGAATAATGAATATTCCTTTGCTTTATGATATGATTTCTAAATTTGCCTTTGCAATTTAACTTGGTAAAAATATCAGCCTTCACTATTCTATGCTCAAGATGCATAGATTAGGACCAATAAAAATGTCATCCTTTGCTATTTTCCAATTTAATTTGTAACAATTTGCGGACATTGAGAAAAAGGCAAGATTGAAGTCGTGGAATAATTGGTTCGTGGGGAATCATTTGCAGCTTGAGTGATCGTGAAGTGCTATCAGATTCAGCCTGATTTCAAGATCTTAGTGTACAAACTCGTAAAAATGTTTTTATAGGCTAATTGATTTCGAACACTTTCATGGTCAAAGTTTGTCTTGTTGGAACTGAAATCGATTTTTGTTCACGTCACTCAGCTCTGGGAAATGTTTAAGTTATGAATTTTGATTTGAACTTCTGATTTTAATTTCAAACAGGCACCAACATTGTTTTTTTATATTTTATATTCAAGCCTAATTGTTTAATGAAATCACAAACTGGTATATCACTCTATTATTAATGGTGCGACGTTTCGGTGTACAAAGCTTCTGCAGTTTAGTTTCTTCGCGTTTCTTGTGGTAGCCATGAGGGTGATATTTATTCCCTTTATCAATCTGGTGCCATGGGTTCAAGGTCCTCAATGGGAGATTGCAGATTTTACAATAAAATGGTTCGGTGCTGATTTGATTGTGGGATGTATATTTTCTGTGGCTGCGTGGGTTGCTGCAGTAGACTTGCCAATCAGTATTTATTTTGTGAACTATAGCATAATGTTGGGCACAAAATAATCTAGCAAAAATCGATTGGGCACGTGATAATGTGGCGGAAAACTTGGTCAAAAAATAATCTAGCAATTAATATTCAAAAAGATCATAATCATTTTTCTTTTAAAAAATTACATCTTGTGATTCTTATTTTATCTACGGACAGAAAAATAAACAAAGAGCTATGCAAAAATATTAAAACAAGCCAACTAAGCATTACAACAATTCACAAAATATTAAACTTGAAGATGCCTACTAAGCATTACAACAATTTGCAAAATATTAAATTTATGTCCAAAGCTCGAACGATGTTGACAAAATTAAGCTTTGGACATCGAAGATTACTATGACGAAGTTCTTACGGTACAAATAAAGCATATAACAACTACAAATTGACATCACCCGTTCACGTCAGTCCCTTCCCCTTCCCATCACTTTCTACAATTCGTTTTCCTTTGCAAAATGTAATGTACAATGTTATGTAGACATCTCGTTTCTCGGTAATTCAAGCTAGGCTATCGAAGATTCTTGGCAAGTCTTCATATTCCTCGTTGGGCTCATGCTTCACCTCTTCGTTAACGATACTCGACTCCCCGTTTAAATCTTCAATTTTCACCCAATCAAAATATCCATAGTCGTTACTACATGTGAAGAATAAGCGCCCTTTGTTTCTAATATCCCGCTCTACCTCAAAACATTTCCGAAATCCGCTTTTACATGAAAGGCATCCACATTTTGTTTGGCATTGTCCAAAGTAGTGAGTGTTACTTTTATAGCCACGACAAATTCTGACGTACTTTCCTCTCATTCTACTCAAGAAATGTCGATGAAACAAAAAATATCGATCAAAAGTAGCTAATTGGCCTTTTCCTACTTGGCCACTTTAATGGTCTTCTCTCATGTGCTACAAACTGCAAACAACAATTGAACATCATATCGATCAAAATCACTTTGAGTAAATGGAATATAATTCGGTAGTATTATATTTTCTTACATTTGATCACATTGAGTTTTGTTAGAACTAAATCTTTTCAAGCTTCTCTTATTTCTTCCCGTGTTAGATGTTTTTATAGGAGGTCAATGGTGGAATGTTTAGTTACAGTACATTTTTACTGCTTGTTAGATGTATTCTCTTGTTGCCTTGAGTCTTACCACTCACCCCATGTGCATATAGTAGCTTAACAAAATTAGGCACACTCCAGCATACAAAAGTAGGCACACTTAAGCATAAATCGTCTGGTAGCTTAACAGAAGTAGACACACTGAAGCATACTCTATATGAAAAACACTCTTGTTTATGAAAAATGAACAAAATACCTTTATCCAAAAATTTAAGAAAAATACCTTTTCCCAGAACAAAATACCTCTCTTCATGAAAAATGAACAAAAGACCTTTGCCCATAAGTTTATGAAAAATACCTTTGTCCATAACAAAATACTCCTCTCCATGAAAAATGAACTTAACAATCAAGCTAAGAAATTAATGAACGAACTCACTAATTTACGAAGAAAAAGAAATCAATTACTTCAAATATATGTCTAAATAAAGAGGAAATAACACCCAAATCATGAAAACAAGTCTAAGACAGCTTAACCATAAATTAACCTTAAATTTGATAAAGCAAAGCATAAGTAAATAACAAAATACCTTTGCCCAGCATCTACGATTCGACTGCCGTATTCAAATGCTACTTCGACGTTGGGTGTCGGTGGGCTACGATCAAGGGCGGATCTAGCTAGTGGCAAGCAAGGGCGGCCATCCTAGCTGGATCCGCCGGAACTACCGAATTTTGGAAGAGCAAAATGAAGCCGCCCTAGCTGGATTTTCGGAACCGTCGGAACAGAGGAGCAGAGAAATATTGCAGAGACAACAGACGCAGTCGTCGAGGAAGGAGGGAAGAAAGAAGAAGATATGATTTGGGCTGCCTGTGTGTATTGTGATGACTTGGGATGTTGAGCCTTTTTAAAAAAACAAATAGAGTGGCCCAAATCAATGAAATCGTCCATTAATGATTAATCCATACCCATATCAGTTTCCCAAATGAAATCCCGTCAATTAGAGGAGAGCAGAGAGCAAACCCTTGAATTCTTTCCATTATTTGCCCCTGATTCCATAATTTTCATCCCATAATTTCCTTCCACATTTCCATTTCAAGTGTGAAGTGGGTTGACTGGGTAGTGGGCCAATGGCGTGTGGGTTGTGATTGCGAAGTGCGAGTCGAAGTCGAGCGGTGCAAGCAGCGGTGAGACGTGTGGGATTGTGTGAATTGCGAAGGAGAAGAGGCTGTGTGCAATGTGGGTCAGGGTCCTCAGGGACTCAGGATGAGTTCACTGTTCTTCATAATTGGAAGTCTTGAATAGTTGAATTGTTTTTGTTTTTGTTGAATTCTTTTGGTTCAAATCATTTTGTTATCTTATTTGTTTTTTGGTGAATTGCAATTGCGAAGTGAAATCAGAATCTCTTTTTGTTGAATTGTTGAAACTTGAATGTTGAATTGCTGATTTGTTGCACTAGTTTGTTGAGAATTGAGAATCTTGAAACTTGAGAGAGTTGCCTTGCTTGCTTAATGTATTTTGGATTTGGTAGGTACTAGGTAGAATTTATTTATAATTAATAATATTATTTAATCAAATTTAAATAAACGACCGGTTGCCAGTCGAATCTGGCTATTACGATCGTTGATTGTCGACTGTCAACGGTCAAAGTTAATCTCCGTCCTAGCTGAACATTCGTCCTGGATTTGCCATTGGCTGCCATCTTCAGTGGCAAATCCAAGATTTTGAATCAGCACGGGCAACCGTTGACTGTCGACTGCAATAAAATACTAAGAGCTTGTTTGATGTCCTTTTTTTTTTTTGCAAAAAATGCATTTTGGAATAGTGATTTGATGAAGAATAAGTGGTTAAAAATAAGGAAAAATTTTGAATTTACATGTAATATTATTTTATTGAAGAATGTATAATTGAAAATAAAATAGAGAAAAATGCATTTTGAAATAAATGGGAATCAAATAAGACCTAAAATTTAAATATAACAATTATTTTGTTGAAATTGAACATATATAATTTTATTATAAGAATAAACTGTACTTACCAAATGATATTGTTGTCAAGTTTTATATAATTCGAAGGAAGAGCACAAGTTCAAATGTTTACAATTGCATTAAAGCCACTAAAATTAATATAAATACATTTGTTAATTTTATTGTCACAAATCAATAAGTGCCATAATGGTCAACCTTTTAATAATCCTAACAACAGTGCCAGGTTCGAATCCCCTCCTCCTTATTCCATTAATTTGCCATTTACTTTTTGTAAAAATTGTAGAAGTGAAAAAAATCAAAAATGATACAGTAAATTTGTTGTAAAAGGATTTGAACCCGTGACTTGCAAGACATAAACGCCATCTCTATCCAACTTGGCTGGAAGCAACATTTGATATGAAAACGTAATATAATCTAAAAAATGTATCTGTTGTCAAAAAAATAAAAAATAAAAAAATTGGTTGCCAGCGGATCCAGCATGCACGGCCGCGAGGTGCTGGATTCGCCACTGGCCATCTTCGCACTACGTCCAATGGTGCCGATCAATTGTCCAGAGGTCGGCGATGAAGCGTTGGGGGGGTTTCCTCTTGCTTTGTGATTTGAGGGAAATGAAGACTGGTTTATCAACAATGAAGACGGATGAATTGTTAAGAGGAAAATTGATTTGCTCCAATTTATGGGTTTAATACATTTAAAACGGCTGAAAAGGGCAAGCAATTGACAAGGGAATGAAAAACAAATTTTCTATTCCAACTCAGCAATTTTAAAAATCTATACCAGTTCTGTGGAAATTTTCTGTACCCGTAGACTAATTGATGTATGTATGTGTGTGTGTTTTACAATGAAGAGCTATAAAAGAACCTACCTATGTAGATAATCATAGAAAAATTGTGCCCCGGGCATAGTTCAGTGTGCAAAGGACAGAAGTGAGTTTATTTCACGCCTTGCTGGCAGCCGCAGTGTGAGGGTTCGATTCCTAAGACATGGAATTGGACTCCTCGTAGACGCAGTGTACAAGCAGCTCTTGTTCTCAGACCTATTAGGGCACATCTCGTAATTTACCTCCCTCATATAGCTTTAGGGATCGACGGTGGGGGCCCTCAACGTACTTTTTTTCATAGAAAAAGTGTTTTCCTTATTTTTTTTCATTCCTGGAGAGCTATAAAAGAACCTATCTACGTAGATAATCATAGAAAAAGTGTTTTCCATATTTTTTTTGATTTCTGAAGCGCCTAAAGACATAGAGTTATAGACTAACGTAAGACATTAGATTATATTGCATAAGCACAAGTTACCATGCAAGCAGATTACTGGCATTGATGGAAGGGGCAGCTTTTGAGTTGTATTCTAACAAAACTGGTTCGCTTACAGATATTTGGTTCTTTGCTCGTTGACATTATGGTTACTCTGCAACTACCTCTCACCCCATCTCCAATAATTCTTTCAATTTCAGGGATGTTTGATTGCTTGTGAAAAATTATAGTTTTACGGTTTAAAAAAATTAAAAATAAATAAATCATCGTTACTTAAAAAAAAAAAAAAAAAAAGTTAAACCCTAGCCTTAGATTAGGCACTTGTTTGAGTCACAATGAAAATTTATTTTTAAATAATATATTGACGGAAAATGTGTGGTTAAAAAATAAGAAAAAAATTTAGATTTGTTTGTAATATTATTTTATTAATTAATGTTTAATTAAAATGATGTTAAATTACTGTTCGTAAGCAAAATTGTTACTTTATACGAGCATCGAATCCAAGAAGCGATTGACACTTGCTCGAGTATTAAGATTTTATGTTATTTTTCGGAGAAATACTTTGTTGGGACGATCTAGGTGTGACCGTCCAACTAGAGTTACCACCTCATCAGCTAGCCTACCCTCACCTAGGTGGCCTCACCTCATAGGGTTAGGATGGACCACCTAATGAGGTGGTGGCTCCCTATTAGATGGTAGCACCACGTAGGATGGTGCGACCATTCTACCAAAATTTTTCTCTTTGAAAAGAGAAAAGATGATTCTGTTATTGAAATTAATATAATTTGCTAAAAAATAAGTACTATCATATTGTTTAATGAAGTGCCGATAGCATTATTAGTAAAGTTTATATTTCAAGATTTTGATTGTCAATTAAATGCAAACCACAAATTCGTTTTATATTTTTTACGAAAATTGCAAAGGAGTTTTCGAAGTATGGTTATTGTAATAAGTGGGTTCTTAGTGTTTTTTCATTAATATTTTGTCTGTTCTTTATCTAGAACTTCTGTAAGGCCCATATACACTTCATTTTTGTTGTATGAAATGGTGATGCTGAAAATAATGGAGACTTTTCTGTGATTCACTTTTTGTTTGAAATTTTGTTCTTATATTTTATATTTTCCTGCATCCTTCTATTAAGTAACCCTTGATATTAGAAAATTTCTCATTCTTCCTCTACCCATAACATGTTCAACACTTTCCTCAGTTTATCATTCAACTATTTTGCAGTTTAGGTATTCCGAAGAAGGGATTCCTCTGGGAGAATTTCAAAATCATAATTTCACATACCTTTTGAGGTGATTCTCTCATTTTATATACTCTTTTTGTCAAATTTGTTACAAAGTTATGTCTTTTACAATTAGACTATCGATATTGAATACAAACATATTTCCTTTGTTTCTCATCTCTTCTATGTCTCTCCTCTTTCTTTTCCATCCCTTTTCTATTCTCCCCTCTTCTGAAAGTAATCCAATGCCTTCACTAGCTGTAGTCAATGAAACAATTTTTTTGGCGTTGCAATTGACAATTTTTAAAAAAAATGTTTGCTTTCTTTTCTAAGATCTGTTTGAGTTTACCTTCTGTAGAATAATTGCCAAAGTTGTCCAATTGTGTTGCAAATTTTTGTCTACACGCTGATTGTATTGAGAAGCAAAGTTGTTTTGGTTAATCAGGCTTGTCTTCAAAATGCTGTAGCAAAAGAAGCTGGTAAAACATTAAAACCCCACATTAATATTAATTTTTTTTATATTTTTTTTTATACGTATTTCTGAAAAAATATGGTTAACTATAAATTCTTCTGCTCTTTGTTAATGCAATTTGTTTAGATGGTACTCCATCAGTGTACCATCTTGATAGATGATTTGAGGCAGGAATTAATAGTTGGTTGGTTCATATTGAGGTTAGTCCACTTAAGTTATTGTAGCGGTTTGATGATGCCGAGTAGGACTAGTGACTAAAATGTATAACTAGAGATTTTTCAACTTAAGCTAATTCATAATATAACTCATCCACATAAGGGTTTTTGTAAAAATTCTTCATGATAATTATTTAATATTTTTGCAAAATAAATATGAAAGATAATTAAAATTTTAATCCTTTTTCATTTTTACTAGTTATTTTTGTGGTTTCTCGTATGATTGATTAGGGAACAAAGTTCTAGACTCATGTAACATGTGTATTGTTTGAATAGATACTTTGTAATTAATTCTATGAAATAATGAGACACAAAGTTGAAGTAACCAATGTTAGGCTAAATAAAATAGATTTAATTCGAATTTCAATCCCCACCAAAAACAGGGGCAAGCTAAGTGTACCCCATATCCTTGCTTAAAAATTTGCAGTAAAACTCAAATCACTTATTGAGTATAACAGTACAGCCACATGATTTGTATTCAAATAGTTTTGTCTATTTTATTTAGTTTAGCATTTGTTGCCTTCAACTCTATGTCTCATTATTTCATAGTATTAATTATAGAGTGCCTATTGAAGCATTATATGTTACTTGGCGCTAGAATTTAGTATTTCATTCCGTAAATAACTAGTACACAACAAACTACAAAAATGACCATAAAAATGGAAAATGGGTTAAAATGAATTATCTCATGTACCTGTCATTGCAAAAAGATTAAATAATTATTTTGAAGTT